CATTTATAAGATCAAGTTCTCTGTTCATCTATAATGTGTCTTTATGCTTTGCTATTAGGCTTCGAAGTTTTTTCACAAGCAACATCAGAAATGCAACTGCCGTTTTTTTTTGCATTTTTGGTATATATCCATTCAGTAAAACATTTTTAGTATTTATACATATTTGTGGCCAGCCAAGACGGTTGTGCTGTACATGTGATTAACATTGATAGCTTTGCAGATAATATTAGCTCATCTGAATTTATGGGTTTGAGCTAGTAATTGGTACTCCATACTTCAGGGCCATCAAGTGCAAAACTTTTAGACTTGCGACAAAATAGACATATGCAGGCGCTAGACACATAGACACAGCCTGTTCGTGTCTATTTTGTCCTTCGTCCGAAAGCATTCAGCTTAATGTTGCTGCAAAAAAGAAAAACTGGGTAGGAGCGAAGCATGTAGGGAAGGACATTTCAGATCCACTGGCATGAAACCAGAGAAAGGGGCGAGGGATGCAGTCCACTTTTAGTCAATGCTCAATGCGCACACTGCGGATCTATATTGTTCAATTCTGCACAAAAGAAATCTCCCACAGGCACTACATTGGCCAGTGAACAGTTATGCAGAGCGAGCAGTAAGCTTTTTTCAATCAAGAAACTCGCTAGCAGATGCTGCCTGTGTCAGCATTGTCTTTTGCAAGTGAAGGCGCATTCTCGTTTCTTGCGAGCTGGTAGTTCAGAAGTCATTGCAGAAAGAGCGTTTACATAGTCAGTGCTAAAACTGCTGCTTGGGTGAGTTGCTTTATGATTAAGACAGATTTACCAGCGCAAAAAAAAAAAAAAGACGAAACATCTAGGAAGGACACACACACAGCATTGAACTCACTATTATTTCAAATGCAGGGCCTTTTTGAAGGCACGCATCGAAACAACAGAAAAATAACATGAAAAAAAGTGATGAAAACGATGTGACAACTGCTTGCCAAAAAGACAATCAACCGAAGGCGCCATCTAAAATTCTTATGCCACAAAGTACACCTCCAATATGAAAGAAGTGAGAAAATATAATTGAACTTAACCGGGGCAAGCACATCAAAGCCAGAGAAGCCAAGGCAGCACACACACGAAAGGTAAAAAATGTCTAAAACGTTAAAAACTAAAATGAAATATAAGAACAGTTTGAAGCACGGATTAAAACTATTGAAAAGGTATGCGCTGTAGGTAGCTTATTTCCTTATTTGAGAGGGAAATGGAAGGCCTGCTTACACATTTGTCCCCCAGCCTCTGAATTTCAGCTGCCTCTAAAATCTTTCTATCAATTTGTTCGCCATGCATGGCTAAGACAGTGCTACCCTAAAAATTCAGGTAGCAGCCGCAGTCATTTTTGATTGTTTAAGGTTATGATAGTGACAATGTCATTGTTGCTGTGGTACACTGTGATGCATCCTATGTACCACTTTTGTCACATTCTTGTCCAAGACCTAACCAAAACATGATCTGCACATTGTGGTTGGTTAATTGGAGACATTCTAGCATGCCAGTCCCAAGTTGTCTGTGATAGACGAACATGTACCAATCCTTTTTGTCAGTTTTCCTAATGTGAACAATAGTCGCCATCAATCGGCAAAAAGAAGCAGAGCTTGCTCAGACTCACTCAAGATATATATTTTGTGCTTAATTAAGACTGACTTGGACTAAAACTCTAAAATTTTCCCCAGTTGGAGACACTTGGAGACTAAAATTTTTCTCAACCACATTCACTTAGACTCAAACTTACCAAAATATTGCTCTCCGAGACTCACTCATACTTAGGATCATGACTCAATCCTAGTCTGAGTGAGTTGACCCACGAGTGCATTAGCGTATATATAGTTAGATCTTGGACTAGAACTCTAAAATTTTTCCCAGTTGGAGAGACTTGGAGACTAACATTTTTCTCAACCACATTCACTCAGACTCAAACTTACCAAAATATTGCTCTCCGAGACTCACTTATACTTAGGATCATGGCTCAATCCTAGTCTGAGCGAGTTGACCCACGAGTGCATTAGTGTATATATAGTTAGATCTTTCGATCATGGCTTCAATGCTCTTAACACCAATATCTCCCATAATCGCTGCTTTATGTGGAGCCTTTTTATCTGATACCTTCAAATATGAGTATCAGCTGTGATTGTAATCCAGGAAGGACATTTTTATTGAGGGGTATGACTCGATATCATGCGATATTTTTGTGAAGAACTTCTCGTGAAAGAGATGGCAGGGGGAAGTCAAGGCACACCCTCTTCCTGTAACACATGCCTCTGATCACTAATTATTGTGCTTACATATGAATGCTAGTACATTTAAATATGTTTAAGTAGACATGCATATAGGTGTGTCTTGGCATAAGTCTTATAGTAATGCTGAAGAATAGCCATAGGGCCATAGAGTAGTAAAAAAAGGGGAGCTCATTCAGACTCACTCAAGAAATATGTATTTTGCACTTAGGGCTCACTCGGACTTGGACCTCAAACTTGCTAAACTTTTTCCCAACGAAACTCGGACTCAGAACCAGTGCGGCTCGATTTGAGTCTGATGAGTGGACTCATGAGTCAGTTTATGAAGCTATTACAACCGCCAACTACATGACTGCTGCTTTTATACATAGGCTGGTTCTTTGAAAAATGGGAGGCTCGTGACATCACTTTTGCACTTTGTTGCAACCAAGTGGTTGCAGCAGCTTGCACTGTTTTGGAACCTGCCAATACTGTGGCAGCTTGTGCAACAGTAAACTTTACCAGACATATGAACATAGTGCTATGTGCTTATCACGCTTTATAATCATACATGTATGTGGCATGTATTTTTTTTTAAACAAATGCTATGCTTTATATGTTTATCACACTAAAGAATGTGTGCATTTTTTTTTCCATGAGCATGCCGCCACATAAAACACCGAAGAGCTAGCATGGAGCTTTGCTGTCAAAAATATTTCAAATGTACAGTGTGCAGCTTCAAACACTTCTGACCAGATATGCCTTGTAAAACTTTCATTATAACTCTCTTCGTAGTAAGTGTCTTAGAAAAATTGTTAGAACAAACAAACTTTGTTCATGGTGTTTGCATACGTTATTATTTACGTTGTTTATTTACTGTAGGCCCCAACATGCACGGGTCTTTACATTAGAGGCAAAGTACATGAATATATTCATCAACACGAACGGGCGTATAAAACAAATTAATTTATTGGGCAATGTGACATAGACACTGGTCAGAAAAAAGTGGAAATGACGAATAATATAAGGATAACTAAAAATGCACTTAAGGTTTAAACTTGATATACATCGGAACATCATCAGACGAAGCTCAAGGCAGCAATTTAGGTGGTTCATACAAATGAACACTTACATACATTTCTCTTTCGTTGTATTCATGTGCTTTTCATAATTTGTTTTTTGTTTCTTTTAGAAAAAGCATATTTTTCTATTGCTTGTAAAGGTTCTTTTCATGTGAAGAGACAAAATGTACATGACTAGACATGTATTAAAGACATTTATTTTCTACCTAGTCTAGCTTGCACGTCACTGCTCGTGGCATTTTTACATAAAATATTATCATTATTATGAATCGGTCAGTACGATCATGTAGAGACTTGTCGCACAAAGTGTATATTCTGTAAATTTGACAAATCTCTCTGAAGAAGTGCAAACTCTGCATTTATGCAATTTGTTCATGTTTACACTTTTTGGTGATTATGAACGTATGAAAAAATTGGTGAAACAAAACTTTAATGGACAGATCTAATGGCGCCTGAGTGGTATACACTTGACCCAACCAAAAGTTTTATCTTTGCCATCTTCTGGATAATAAGGTGGACAGGTAAATCCTGCAGAGTGAGCCTGAGCATTGGAAAAAATTGATGAAACAAAACCTGATTTGAATGAACAAATCCAATGATGCTTGAAGGGGATACACTTGACTCATCCCAGCCTCTAATTTTTGACGCGGTTTTGTAGGGTGGAATTTGTGGAGGAACGGAATACAGAGCGAGTCTGAACATTGGAGAAAATGGTGAAACGAAATTTAATTTGAATAACCAGATCTAATGGTGCCTGAATGGGATACACTTGACCCATCTCAACATCCTACCTTTGTCAATATTGTAGGGTGGTGGATTGTAAAGTGGAGTGGCGGATTCTGTAGAGTGAGTTTGAAAATTGGAGAAAGCTAATACGTGAAACGAAGCTTAGCATAGACAGATCCAACGGTGCTTGAAGGGGATACACTTGTCCCGTCCCAACGTCCTACCTTTGCCGACCTTGTAGGGTAGATTGTGTGGAGGGGTGGAATCTACAGAGTGAGTCTGAACATTGAAACAAAATTTTGAAACCCAGTCGTCCAGTTACGGGTCGTGGAGTGGGCCACACAGGTCGACAGATCGCCGCCAACCTTGGGTTGATAGCCATCTAACACGGAATCGTCCGCAGTTGCTTTCTGACAAAATAAAGTTTTACCATCCATCCATGAAAGGACAGATCTAATTGAGTCTGAAGGGGATACAATTTATCCGCCTCCGCGGCCTCTTTTTGTCGATCTTGAGAGCGAGTGGATCCTGCAGTCACTCATCAACCACGAGGAACAATCAACGTGCACAGTGGTAGGTCTTCCTACATGCTTTCGGGCATTTTACAGCGAACTCATCTTCAGAATCAATAAGCACTTATGTGCCACTGTCTGCGTACAGCGTAGATCCAGTGTTACTTCATCACTGCTGTTTCAGCTGAACCGCTGAGAAGTCGGACCTGAGCCGGCTGAGTGAAGATGAGTTTTGATACCGCGAATTCGTCAGTGTGGCAACAATGTCCTAATTGTTCTACTCCCAAGATGGCGGCTTCCACCTGCGCTGCGGGTAATGGATATAATTTTCAATAATGATTTCCTCGCATTTCTTTACGCACTGTGACGGAAACTGTCCTGACTGCAGTTGTGAATGATTTTTCAGTTGCGTTAGGCTGGTGTTACTTTTATTAACTGCATGAGAGATGTGTTTCCGGTGTGACACCAAACCTCAATCTGGTCAGCCATTTTTTGTATGTATCTGCTGTGACGTACGAAAGTTATCGGAATTTTTACGCGCTGCCTGGCCATGTCTGACGAACGGGAACGTAAGTGTCGTGTAACTGTTAGTTTGGCGACATGTTTGTGAAACGGTTGGTTCTATAGTGAGGGAAAACTGCCTTCGTTAGGGTTCAGTTGAAGGCCCCAAGCGAGAGAGTTGTGCGACATGCTTAAGCCGGTCTTGACATCTCTATGTCGTGTTGTGCGTCATTGGGTTATTCAGCTACAAAATGCGTTTGTCATGACTGGAAATCTTCATTGTCACGAGCAGCAAAGTGCTGTTGCGTGTTGCTACTCTTGGGGTTATGTTTGGAATTATTTGTGATGTCTGAACGCTCCGGTTTAAGATTTTAACGCAGGGTTTGAACGTGCATGAAACTCGGTCGCCTTATATGTGCCGAGGTAGTACGCATCAGCCTGCGCGTTTTACGATCTTGTAGCTATGATTCATCGAGAATGGGAGACTACTCGTCATAGCTTATCTTCGTTTTTCTGCCAGGTTTATCGCACACTCCACTGCGGAATGCCGGCGTTAGACGCGAGAGCCACTCTTGTGCATTTCACTCCTTGGAGAGTTGTGCGATTGTGCATCAAGTTTTGTTGAATGAGACATTTAGCTGTCGTCACTGAAAAAGAAAAAAAAAAAAGACGCCGTAAATTGTTTCTACTCTTGGTGAAAACAAAAATGGTTGAATAGCTTGGCAGTTCTGTTTTCTCAACACTTCAGGCTCAATGTTCTGGTTAATGCCAAAATATAACTGTTGGCAATCGCTACTTGGTGCGAAGTGTTCTCGCTGAATTTTTATCATAGTGGTGTCGCACGGTACGGTGCACTGTGGATCGCTGCTAGGCCTTTGGGGATCAAATTTCTCAACCCTGGACGACTCGCTTCAATGGCTTATGTATAGGACCCAGTCACGATGTAAAAACTTGATGTGGATAATGCCCGAACTGGATCAAAAGTAACCGTGTGACACTCTTATGTGTTTGATGGTACTGCGTATTGATGTTGAAAAAGAAAAAGCGTGAACAATGATGGTTGACATTCAATGATTTTGAGATCATTAGATTTGTTCCTATTTGAAGGACCAGTCGCTATAGGCGTTGGCAGGAGGGGTGTAAAAAGGGCAGTTGCCCCCCTCTAGCCACACCAGTGCTTGCTCCCTCCCACCCAAGCTTCAAGATCTCCACTCTCCTCCACTTGCAGCAAAACAAAATCCTGCCGATGTCCATGCCAGTGACTGAGAAATGTTTTTTGAAAAAAAAATTGAAAAGAAAAAGAGATAATGAAACATATTTCTAGCGGGAAATAAGTTATTGTACTTCAGCGTAATGCCAGAGCCAGTTGGGAGAATAGTTTGATATTTTTTAATTATGGCACAGTTGTTGCATTCTTATTGGTGAGAATGCTGATGCGATTACTTGCACTCTCGTGGCAGCCCGCTCCTTCAAGCCATTTAGCCTCTCACTCCCTTGTAGCAAATGTCACTGCCATAACAGAAATAAAAATTGGCAGAATAATTGTGTATTTCTTGCTTAGTCAGCTTTGCAACGATCATATATACTGACAGTATAATAAAGTTGTAATACCCATTGCCAATCATGTGTGAACAGAATCATAAAGTGCATTTCTTCTGTGCTGTAAATATGGAACACGCATGGAGAATAGTTACGCATCATACCTCTGTTGTCCAGCAAATGCTATGTCATTGCCACCGAATCACATTAAGTGAGCTATATGCAACTTTACCTGCATGCTGTTAAACGATAAACACAATTGTCATTTCAGAATGACTGCAACCATAACCGTCTACGTCATATGTGTTTAGCATTGGTAAATCCTTGAAACAAGTTGTTTTAGAAAGTCGCTCTAAATATATTTGCTTGGCCCTTACAATTTGTTGCAGCTTGGCATATAAACGGTCAAGCTTTGAGCCAAATAAAAATCATCATTTATGACATGACATTGTATGGGAGCAACACAACAATTTTTATCTTTTTTTTTTTCAATTCAGCAATCTATTTCTAAATACATATATTAAAAAAACAGTGGGTGTTAGCAATATTTTTAGAATGTCCCTGGCTTTTAGACCATACATATGGTTCAAAGAAAATTTGAAGGATTTATGTGTACTCGTTTGTTTGATAATTAAGTTTTTAACGATTGTCATTGCAGGAATGGAAGTGTTGTGCCAATTGCACCATTATGCGCCAGGTTGTGCATAAATTGCAATTTCCATGATGATTGTCAATTGGAATTGTAAATTGTTAAATATAGCTGATTGTTATCGCTCACTGAGCAACACGCAACACTGAGCATTGGCTACGCAAAGGATGCGGCTGCAGCCATATCCAGTGTTCGATCGCGTTGTAATTTGATTCATTCGTGGGGCTTGCTTGTGCTCGCCTCATCGCTGTTATTGCCGTGGTTTTCCTGTAACTATGGTGCAGTCAACACGACTAACTGAATTATCTAGTGATACAATGAAACCTCGTTCATTTGTACCAGCGGGGAACGCGGCATGATCATTCACTAAAAGGCAGTGCTCGTTTACCAGTACAAAATGTGCATCTTCGGACGTGCACCTCTGCCCCGAATGAACAAATACAGTACCACAACAGATGTTGCCCAAAGTAACCACCAAAAACTATTTTCTTCCTTTTTACCAAAGTGTGGAAAAGATACTAGGCTGGCACTCTCGCACGATTGTTTTACAGCGCGCAGTGGCGGCGCCAACGAGCATTTCGAAACTACTACAAGGTCCGGGATGCGCAGTGACTGAGATATATAGCCAGTATGGACACTATCGGCTTTCCGCGACACATATGTGCAGTTCTCTGCCGCGATTTGATACTAAGCGACATTTGACAGTTCATTGAAACACGGAGCGGTTGCGTGGGCTCGGTCATCTGGTTAGTTACGTGCAGCGCGGCGCCTATGCTGCCCGCGCTGTCGCTGCCGGGCAGCTCACTGTATTGTGCGCATGGATTTGCCATGTAAATTGCTCGTCCTCACTCCCCTCCAGACCAAGCACAGATTAGCAGAGTAGTGTGTTTGATAAGAGTGGGAATAACAAACTTCTGCCAAGCAGAGTACGCTGCGATGGTCAAGCGGTCATGAAAACAAGAGCTAAGGACCGCTTGTTTCTCGTTTTTTTTTTAGTTCTCCGTCAGCTGTGATGTATGACGAGAACACACACACACACAAACACACTTACACACTTGTGGGTGGTAAGTCTGGTCAACTCATTAGTACTGATTGTTTAGGAAACATAATTGGAATTTTTTTACCAGAAATAATTTCGATTGATGATGTTTTACCCTAGAAAGCTGCTCCAAAACTAACTTTCATTGCTCCAAAAAACACCTTTTGGTGCTCCAAACATGCTACAAAACTCCCATTTTGCTGCACCAAAGCTGTTATAAAATAGCATTATTATTACTGCTCCCTGAGCTGCTCCAAAACACTGAAGTCCACTTCCATCCCTGTCATTGGTTTTCTTTTGTTATATCCGATATTTTTACTACAGTATAGATAAAAATCAGCTGTAACATATCTGCAATCTGGCTTGCGCAAAAATTTTATATGTAAAAATGTGTTATTCTAGGCTTAAAACACACTTTATATAAACAAGATAAACCCTACTTGTTTCCTTGGGACATTTCAAACTAAGTAGTCTGGAACACGAGGTGAAATCACAACAGAACAAAGTTGTTTTGGCAAAGCAGGCCTGTGTCACATTTATTTGAAAAAAGATGAGATTTTTGTGGCTTTTCCCAGTACTGCTCATGAAGCTTATGCTGTCTGTGCCACCTTTGGAGTTTTGAGCCTTGCACGAATAGAATATTTTTATTATAGCAGATCTCACAGTGGCTGCAACATTTTCAGTTTCATATAAAAAGAACTAATGTAATTGAAATAAAGTGTGACCAATGAAAGTTTATATTTAGTTAAATATAACTGATAATTTACTATATCTGTGTTTATTGTAACGAGGTTCACCCATGTTACGTTTGTCATGCGGCACTGGTATTGCACTGTCAGTTTTCCCAGGATTGAATTACTGGAAATATATTGTTGTTCTCTTAAGATATTTAGAAGAAAAAGGGGTGGCGTCAATAATTGTTACTTATACGAGCAACATGCCTACTCAAAGTACTATACAGCAGTATCAAAACAGGAGTATGATCAAAACATTAGTGCGTGTTGATCCACTTGCCTACCCAGGTAAGGTAATTCGGTAGTCAGCATTGGGCCCATTTTCCTTCTCCTTTTCATTTGTTTTTCACCCTGCCTCCCTCAAGAACAGTAGTTTTTATTTGCCAAAACTTTGTCCCATATGATGATAGTTATAGTGCGAGAACAAAACGACAACACAGAGACAAGAAGGACACGAAAGACACGAGCGCTAACTTCCAACTGAGTTTATTGCCCAGAGCACGAAAATATATAGAGGAGGCAGTAACCATATGATAAAAGACATATTGCACAAAGAGCAGAACAAGAGTTAGAGAAAAACAAAGACAAAAAACAAAAAAAACACAAGCAAAGAAAAAACGGCAAAGAAAGATTTATAAGAAAACGAAACAGAAAGGTAAACAATATAACTGCTTGCGCGCACTGAAACCTTCGAGGAACCTGAGTTCCTTCTTGGACAGAGCCACGGAGGGCTTGCTAATACAAGGCACTTGTTCGCGTGCCATCTGCGCGGCCTTGACAATGACGCGGGTGCGCTCATCTCTGTGCTTGTACAGCGTCGCTGTGTCCTTGAAAAGGGGCACACAATTGCACTCAGTGCAGTGATGAGCAAGAAAACCATCTTTCCCGTTTCTAACATTGTTAGCGTGTTCTCTCAGCCGATCGTTCAGACACCTTTCGGTGGTTCCGACATAACAAGCACCTCATGAAAGGGGGGTCCTATAGACAACTTCCCGGGAGCAGGCTGCATACCTGTTTCTATGTTGAACTCTGCATTCCGTTGATGACTGCGTTTTCATGGTGTTTGTAGATTTGGTGAGGCTGATTAATTTGAACGGTGCCGAGAAC